TCATTTACCCAACAGTTGTTTATAGGAGACTTAACTGTGCAGACATGTGTGTCTGAGAATTTGGGAAAGACTGTGAACAAAACAGACAAAAACACTTGCCCTCTTGGGGCAGGGTTGGGAAGACAGATAAACAGTAAACATAACAAGTAAATTATATAGGGTAAGTACTAAAGGAAAAGAGACAAAGTAGAGCTGTGCAGGTGGGTAGCTATTGTATAAAGCATGCAAGATGCAGTATTAGAATGGTCCAGGTAGGCCTCCTTCAAAAGATATGGTTTGAACAAAAACACAAAGGAGGTGAAAGAGTTATCCATGGTATCTGGGAAAGCCCATTCCAGGCAGAGGGAACTGCTAGAGCAAAGGCCTAAGGTCAGAGTGTGTCTAGCATGTTTAGAAAAGAGCAAAATAGCAGAAATGATAGTAGAGAAGGTCAGAGAAGTAAGGAGGACAGACCATTTATGGCCCTGTTAAGGACATTTTAATGACTTTGGCTTTGACTCTAAATGAAATGGGAAACTTCTGCAGAAGAGTGACATAATCTGGCTTTCATTTAAGAAAGTGTCCTGTGAAATGTAGCCAAGAAAATAAGATGAGCTGATGAATGGAAAGAGCCAAAGATAAACATGTACTAAAGCAAATACGGCAAAATGTTAAGTGTAGAATCTAAGGGGTGGCTGTATATATGTGGGTGATCACTATTTAATTTCTTCAACTTTTCCATGTGTTTAAAAATTTTTATAAGAAGAAATTTTAAGTGGGGCGCCTGGGAGGCTCCGTGGGTTAAAGCCTCTGCCTTAGACTCGGATCATGATCCCAGAGTCCTGGGATTGAGCCCTGCATCTGGCTCTCTGCTCAGCGGGGACCCTGCTTCTCCGCATCCCCCACGCCTGCCCCTCTGCCTACTTGTGATCTCTGTCAAATAAATAAAATCTTAAAAAAAGAAGAAGAAATTTTAAGCTATTAAGAAAAAATCTAAATCTAATCCTGGTAATAATATCATAATTTAACTGATATGTATTGTTTTATAGAATGAGTCTAACATGTCACTGAAGACTCTCCTTAGGAAATTCTACATGTAAAATCCCATTTTCTCACTAACCTTCATTACGGAGTAGAATGTAATTCTTTGGAAAGAATCTGATTAATAAAACCTAGAATAAAAGTAACTTCAGGGACGCCTGGGTGGCTCAGTTGGTTAAGCGGCTGCCTTCGGCTCAGGTCATGATCCCAGAGTCCTGGGATCGAGTCCCACATCGGGCTCCTTGCTCAGCAGGGAGCCTGCTTCTCGCTCTGCCTCTGCCTGACACTCTATCTGCCTGTGCTCACTCTCACGCGCTTGCTCTCTCTCTCTCTCTCTCTCTGACAAAAAAATAAAATCTTAAAAAAAAAAAAGTAACTTCAGAATATGAAAACATTAAAATTACATATATATAATATATGATATAAAATGGAGTGTATTTCTTATATATTTTGTATATATTATATAATAGAGTAACTGTCAATATATAGACAATTAGAAATAAAAGCATCAAAATTTATTCTGGCTTGTGTGTCTTAGAAATCTAAAGGTCTTGGGCCAAGGGAGGTGACAGTGGACATGATAAGAAGTAGTCTAATTCTGTGGCTAAATTTTGAAAGAGCCAACAGGATTTTCTGATGGATTAGAGGTAGAATAAGAAAAAGAGAAATCTAGGATGACTCCAAGGTTTGCAGCTTGTGGTATGAGCAGCTTGCTGGAAAAATAGGTTTGCTCTAACAAAGCTTACGACTAAAATAAATGATTTGGTGGGGGGATAGAGAATACATGTTTGGACAGTTTGGGACAGTTTGGGAGATGTCAGTTAGACATCCAGAGGAGATGATAAGTAGACAGTTTGATAAACAAGGCTGGACTTAAGGAAACAAGATTAACTAGAGATATAAAGTAGGGAGTCACCTGCATGTATATTGTTTAAAGTCTTGGGATTGGATCCAGTTTCCCAAGAAAATGAGTGTGCAAAGACAAGAGAACCAAACCCTGAGGCATTTCAACATTAAATGATTGGAGAAGGGAAACAACAAAGAATTGAGAACAACCAGTGAGAGAAAAGAAAAGCCGACAGTTGGGTGTTCTAGAAGCCATTTGAAGAAAATGTCTCAAGGGCATTTTGACTGTGTGTCGAGTGTTACCAGTTATTAATTCTCCTCCCTACTCTCAAGTTGTTACCACTTGCTTTTGCTAAAATGTTAAATTACAAGAGTTTTTAAATCATTCTGCCCAGATAATGACCACTTGTTGTAAGAGTCTTTAAAGCTCATAAAGGTAAAATCCAAAGCCTAACAGCACTTTTTAAAAATTTAAGTTTTGAAGGCAGACTCCTTCTCATCTTTATTTTTATATTCCTAGTATTTACCCTTACAGTGAGCATATAAGTGCTAAAATAGGAGACCTGGGACCGTTCATTTATAGTTCATGCTAAGCACACTAAGACTACATCAGCCCCTTAAGATGGTCTGTCTTCTAGGACTAGCTGTGGGACAATACTGATACTGTGTTTTACAGGCTGTCAGATGGGTTGTCCTTTCAGAAGATTCCATAAGGGCGCCTGGGTGGCTCAGTGGGTTAAGCCTCTGTCTACAGCTCAGGTCATGATCTCAGGGTCCTGGGATCGAGTCCCACATCGGGCTCTCTGCTCAGCAGGGAGCCTGCTTCCTCCTCTCTCTCTCTCTGCCTGCCTCTCTGCCTACTTGTGATCTCTCTCTGTCAAATAAATAAATAAAATCTTTAAAAAAAAAAAAGGAAGAAGATTCCATAATACCGCCCTGGAAGAAGAAAGTTAGGATCTGAAGAGCTAAGGAAGAAAGCAGAATAACTCTGCAGCCCAGTAACAGCTCTGCTTTATTGTTGCTGTTTTGCCTTTCCCTGCTTTCAGTTGTACAGGGCTAGGGGAGTTTTAGTGTTTTAACTCAGAATGTGAAACTGACTTTCTCCGTGTCCAAAGAATTTGAAACCTGGTAGGAATCTCCTGAAATCAAGGGTACTCTCCCCTTGTCTTAAGGAAGGTTAAATTTAAATTATAAAATTCACCCAAACTTGTAATGAGTCCTTAACTGTGTACAGGGTAAGACATGAGTTTGCCCTATTTTAAATATAGCAAAAGAGTTACCTTCACAAGAGTTCTGAATTCCACCTCTTCATTGCTCCCTGGGCTCCATCCATCCAGCCTTTGATCATCTGCAATGTGTTGTTTGAACAAAACCCTGAGGGTATTAAAGTACAAAGCATAGGAAGCTTCAAACTTAATAAAGGAGCCATAAATGTAAAAAAAAAAAAAGTTAAAGAATTAAGATTGTGGGTAGATTTGGATTTTAACTAATCATTTTGCACATTTCTAGGATTTCTAGGAGTACTATTCTTTGTAAAGTAACTTACACCACTGTTGATGGGTAGGTTGTCATCCTTTCCATGGGTGCCATGGTGGCCTAGAGTGAGACACCCACTACCCCTCTCTTGTTTGGATTCAAAGGAAGCTCCAGTAACACGTTTGAATAGACCCGAGACTATTTGGTCTTCACATTCTTCCTGGCCTGGCTGTCATTTAAAACGTTTATCCTTGGGGCTGCTGGGTGGCGCAGTTGGCTAAGCGTCTGCCTTTGGGCTCAGGTCGTGATCTCAGGGTCCTGGGATCGAGCCCTACATTGGGCTCCCTGCTCAGCTGGGAGCCTGCTTCTCCCTCACCCTCTGTTGCTCCCCCTGCTTGTGTTCTCTTGCTCGTGCTGTCTTTCCCTTTCCAATAAATAAAATCTGTAAAAAATAAGTTAAAATGTTTATTATATTTGAGAAGATATTTGCCAATGACATATCCAATAAAGGGTTATTTTCCAATATACAAAGAACTTACGCAACTGAACCCCCCCACCACCAAAATATCGGTTAAAAATAGGCAGAAAACAGATATTTCTCCAAAGACATACAGACGGTCAACAGACACATGAAAAGATTCTCAACATCTCTTGTCATCAGGGAAATGCAAATCAAAACTACAATGAGATGTCAGCTCATACCTATCAGAATGGCTAAAATCAACAACGCCAGAAACAATAGGTGTTGGCATGCATGTGGAGAGAAAAGAGCCCTGGTGCATTGTTGGTGGAAACACCAGTATAGCCACTGTGGAAAACAGTATAGAGGTTCCTCAAAAAAAAATAAATAAATAAAACTGCCTTAGGATCCCATAATCTCACTACTGGGTATTTACTCCCAAAATACAAAAACACTAATTCAAAAGGATATGTGCACCCCTATGTTTATTGCAGCATTATTTACAACAGTCAAATTGTGGAAGTAACCCAAGTGTCCACTGATAGATGAATAGATAAAGAATATGTGGTATGTAGATACACAATAGAGTATCAAGAGGAATGAAATCTTGCCATTTGCAGCAACTGTGGATGGATCTAGAGAGTATAATGCTAAACAAAACAAATCAGTTGGAGAAAGACAAATGCCAGATGATTTCACTCATCTGCGGAATTTAAGAAACAAAACAGACGAACAAAGGGAAAAACCAGACTCTTAACTAGAAAACAAATACCAGAGAGAGGGTGATTGGGATCGGTGAAGAGGGATTAAGAGTACATTTATCGGGATGAGCACTGAGTACTGTATAGAATTGTTGAGTCACTGTATTGTACACCTGAAACTAATAGAACACTACATTAACTACATTGGAATTAAAAACTTAATTTTAAAAGTGTTTATCCTTATTTTTTCTTTTATAATACTGATTATAGAGACAGTTTATCTCTGTTGACTTTGAATAGTGAATTCTTTAATTTTGGCCTTTTTTTTTTTAAATTTTGTGAGGGCTGGAATTTTTACTTCTGTCATGCTGTCTAGAAGCTTTTTTTCCCTAAGCTTTTTCCAGCTTTAAGAATGGAAGTTTTTCTTTACACCTACTGCCTACTTTGGGGGATTGGGAGCTGAATTCTCGGAATTCTCCTTAACTTAAAACTTCAAGATACGTTGTCACAGAATTGATGCAGAGTGACCTACATAAAATTATCGTCTCTCCTCAACCACTCAGCTCAGATCATGTCAAAGTTTTTCTTTATCAGATTTTGCGAGGTAAGCTTTTCTTTGTGAAGAAAACTGTAGTGTCACTGTATAAAGTGAAATGTTTTGCTTTTCATTTGAACTTTAATCTGACCTTCCAAGGCTTCTTTCTTCCCTAACGATTTTTTTCTTTTGACCAAGGTATTTTAAAAATCTCTACACTTGACGTTAAATAAGAAGCTTTTAAGGGTGGCCAAATGGTTCGTATTTCCATGGATGAAAGAGAAAGGCCTAATTCATTACTCAGTTGAGTAGGTTAATGTAGGGAAGGTAAATAAGCAGGATGGTTTGTGGAACCCCGTGGTCTGTCACAAAGTTGCCTCTAAACAGGAATATGCGGTGATTCCATTGAAAAATAACTGTTCCCTTCCCTGTGGATGACGTTTATTCTTCAAGTTTTGTCAGTGTTGGTTGATATACCTGAGTACAACTCTAAAAAAACCAAAATGACTCTTAAAAGCCAAAGGATCGAGGAGGCTGAGAAACAGTCAGCTAGGTGATTCTCCAGATTCTCATTAGAGAGCGCCAACTTGAGGGAGAGGCAGTGTGAGCCGACATTCCTGGAGCTGCCTCTGGCCATCAGGTTTGTCCTTTGGAATTTTGCTGTTACAAATGGAGAATTGTTTAAAGCTGAAACAGCTTTCTTACCTAGTAAAATATTCTCCCTCAGCTCCCACACCAGAATTCAGAGATTCAGGTATTCTTTATGGAGATTAAAAAGCATCTGCCAACAGAATGAAAACACACACAAAGTATTAAAACTAGGATGTTCACTCTCCATAGATTTGTTGCTATTCTATGGCAGAACAAAGATATTGGATATTGGATTTTTTTTTTACCTTGTAAAATACATATATATATATATATATATATATATATATATATATATATATATATATAATTTGTTGTTTTATTCAGAAGACTCAGCCTTGAAGCTGTGACCTTTTTCTAAAAGCAGTGCTAAAGTCCGTCTTAAGATGTGGAAAAAATAGTTGAAAGTAATTAACTATCCCTCTTGAATATCAGTGATGGGGAGTACTACTGACAAACCTGGGCAGGTCACTGAATTTTGTCTGATCAGTGAAAATCTGCCCTGGGAAGGGCTCCCTGGTGGGTAATGAGGATTTGTGGGAGCTGGCTCAGAATCATAGGTTGAGCGTACCAATAGCCAAGCTCCAGTAGCCCCCCACACATAGGAGCAATCCAAGAATATTGGTATGGTCAACTTTTAATTCCAGCGCCTGAAAAACTTATCTGTAGGTTGTGTAAACCTTTGATAACACTTTATTTTACAAAATTACAGTTTTTTGAGGTAGGACTAAGTCAAGCTTTTAATAATGTTTATTATGTCATTATTTAAAGAACAACCTTAAATCCTGTATTCTCTGTTACTGTGGTTTTTCCCAGATCGTTGGTTGAGTGAAAAGAATTAAATATCTGTAATTAAATCCATTTGTTATTTCAGGTTTGAAATATCTCCATTCAGCTGGCATTTTACATCGAGACATTAAGCCAGGGAATCTCCTTGTGAACAGCAACTGTGTTCTAAAGGTAGCTTTTCAGTTTCTTTAAATATCTGAGAAAAATTCAGAATGTCAAGGCAGGTTTAAGAACAATGTGTCTTTGTGAAAGAGTTAAAGTTATTTTCATCACTTTACCAAAAATTAAAGAACTGAGTTTTCTCTAGCAATATCACTAGTCATGGCCATAGTAACTGATTTGTCATCTTGACTCATGATTTCTTCATGATAGTTTGCATATGTTTTGGAAACACTGAAATTGGATTTACAGTGTGACCAGGAAGAAGATAGAGGAGGTAATTTCTTTTTAGATTGTTCTATTGCTAAAGAAAGTGTGTATTTAAAGAATTATTTCAAGACTAGTAAGTTATTTATATGAGAATGAAGTATAGCTTTTATAAAGACTGTGTTTTGGGGGGCACTTGGTTGGCTCAATTGGTTAAGCAACTGCCTTCAGCTCAGGTCATGATCTGGAGTCCCAGGATCGAGTCCCACATCGGGCCCCCTGCTCATCAGGGAGTCCGCTTCTCCCGCTGACCTTTCTCCTCTCATGTTCTCTCTCTCTCTCATTCTCTCTCTCTCACATGAATAAATAAAATCTTAAGAAAAAATAAAAAAAGACTGTTTTTGCACAGCTAACATTTCTATGCCATGTGTGACAGGTAGCTAAGTAGGGAAGTGAAAACACTGAAAAGTGAAAATACTAGGGGCACTCAGGTGGCTCAGTTGGTTAGGCACCTGCCTTTAGCTCAAGTAATGCTCCAGAAGTCCTGGGATCAAGCCCCATGTCAGGCTCCCTGCTTAGCAGAGAATCTGCTTCTCCCTCTGCCCCTCACCCTGTTCATGCTCTCTCTTGCTTGCTCTCTCAAATAAATAAAATCTTTATTGAAAAAAAAGTTAAAAATAATATGCCAGAAAAGGGTCAAATATATTTGACTATATAGTAGCCAATTCTGCTATTCCTTCTAAAGGGGAATTGATTACAGGATTTAATGACAGTAGTAGCCCCAAAATTTCAAGCCATCAATTTCAATTTTACTTTCCCCTAGTATCTCTACCTACCCTCCACCTGTTGTTTCTTGTTAGAGTGGCTCACAAATCGCAAAATCCACATTTTGCATTTCCCTGCCTCTAATAGATGTATTAGCAGAACTCCTAGTGAGAGGCCCACCATATTTTCTCCATCATAGAAATTAGAGATAAGGGCCTTCCTAGAGTTGTGTCCTCTCTGTGTAAGCAAATTTAAATTCTGTTTTATGAGTGGCTACAATATTACATGGTGCTTCAGTCTACAGTAAATATTCTTCTTAACATTCCAACTGATAATATTTGAAAAAGAAAACTTTCTGTTTTTTGTTTTAATAAAAAAATAAAGTTTATTTATACTTAAGTTTAAATAAATAAAGATTTGTTTATTTGGAAGAAAGAAGGTGCACAATGGGGAGGGGCAGAGAGAGAGGGAGAGAGAGTTCCAAGCGGACTCCATGCTGAGCACAGAGCACAATGCAGGGCTTGACCTCACTGAGATCATGACCTAAACCGAATACAAGAGTCAGATTCTTTAACCTACTGTGCCACCCAGGCACCCCAGGAAAACTGGCTTTTAGATGTTGCCTGCTTTATAAGTTATCAAGATGTCATTGTTACTTAGCTTGATGGCAGTTAAACTAAATATTAAAAGCAAGTATATAAATGAATATCATTTTATATTTTAAAAGCTTTCTTTAAACTCTGGGCCAATTTTCTTTAAAAGCTGGTATGTTGGGACACCTGGGTGGCTCAGTAGGTTAAGCCTCCAACCTGAGCGTGCCTACAGCTCAGGTCATGATCCTAGCTTCCTGGGATTGAGTCCCACATCGGGCTCCTTGCTCAGCGTGAGCATGCTTCCCTCTCTGCCTCTGCCTGCCAGTGTGCCTGCTTGCACACGCACGCACGCGCTCGCTCGCTCTCTCTCTGACAAATAAATAAATAAAAATCTTTTGAAAAAAAAACTGGTATGTTAATACTGTGGAAAAAAACTCCCTTCATTATATCCTTGAAGAACTGTTTCTGATGTAACTCTAGAAAGATTTTTTTAAAAAAAACTACCTTTCAGGGGCGCCTGGGTGGCTTACTCGGTTAAGCATCTGCCTTCAGCTCAGGTCATGATCTCAGGGCCCTGGTACAGGCTTCCTACTCAGCAGGGAGTCTGCTTCTCCCTCTCCCTTGCCCCCACTCATGCTCTCTCTTCTTTCTCTCAAATAAAATCTTAAAAAAAAAAAAAAAAAAAAGCTATCTTTCATATTTTCCCTGAAAACAACTAGTATTGTAGTTCAGTCTCTTTCCACAGAGAAATGAATTGTTCCCAGTGTCCACTAAAGTAAACATTCCTTCTATAGGTCATTGAGTTTATTTCCCCGCTACCTTTCCACTTTTTAAAGAGAGTTGCGGGGCACCTGGGTGGCTTAGTGGGTTAAAGCCTCTGCCTTCTGCTCAGGTCATGATCCCAGAGTCCTGGGATCGAGACCCGCATCGGGCTCTCTGCTCGGCAGGGAGCCTGCTCCCCTTCCTCTCTGTGCCTGCCTCTCTGCCTACCTGTGGTCTCTGTCAAATAAATAAATAAAATCTTAAAAAAATGAAATAAAGAGAGTTGCACCCTATCCCCATAACCCTAATTTAATTTTAAAAACAAATTATTTTAAACCTTAGGAATTCTTTATTCTGTTCAGACCAAATCAGTTTTATGACGGCTTAAGCCAGTTTCTTCTTATTTTGGTTTCTGGTTGGAGAACTTCACAAAGCATTGTGTTTAGAACCTGTTTTGTTTGGTGCCATTACCTGCTTGAGGTCCATTTTTCAGATAATCTCTTATGGTATTATAACTTCTAGCTACATGGACAAGTAACTAGAGGAATATGTCATTAATGAATAAACAACAAAAAGATCAGGATAAACTGAAATTGTGCCCCACTCCTTTGACTTGTCTTAGCAGCCTACTTTTAAGTCCCAAAATGGAGTTCCAAGCTACAGACACTGATTATCTTCTCAAATGTACAAATTCATCAAAAATAACTATGATAAAGCATTTCTTTTAAATTAGTATCCTTTCATATTCTGAATATATTTTGTTTCCTATTAAGCACAAAATGGATAATTTTGTTGGAAATCTCATTATCTTTTTGGTTATCTGATCATATAAGCTTCTTACTTTGGGTTTAGCTTGTCTTCCAGATAAATTGCCAAAAATGACTCCAGACAGACTGGTCTTTTTAACAAAGGACTTGCTTTATAACAGAAAACATTTCCTGTCCGGTGGGTGGTTGCTTGTTTTTTCTTGTTTTGTTTTTTGTTTTTTTACTATAAATACAATAAAGATAGAGGAAAATGGATTTAAATTCTTTGGTTTTTGTTTTGTTTTAAAAGATACCCTAAAACATCATGGCCAAGGAAGAGAGTTTTTTAAATATGTGTTATTTGAACACTAGCCTTTGGGAGAATTTGATAAGCAACTTAGAGTTTTGGGGTTGGTTTGTTTTGTTTTGTTTTTCGTTTCTGGTATGGTTCTCAAACATTTTTTAAAGCTGCCAGACCCTTTTTTTCAAATAAAATCTTATGCTGCAACCTCAACTTAGAAAACAGTGTTAGTTCATCACTTATAATATTGACTCATGAAGTTGATCAGTGAGGATGCTGGAGTTTGGAAAGCCGTTACTCTCTTATCTTAACCTCAGTGCTTCCACATTTTTTTTTTTGGTGGCCCAGTATTAAGAAAATCTAATTTTCTTAATATGAGAAATTCCTGAAAATAAGCAGAAGTTGCTGGTGGTGCTGCTGCTGTCTGCCAACAGCTCACCTTGCAACCTCAGCATCCTTTTCAATGAAACCGAAATAACAAGAAAAGATTTATTCCCAGGTCTGCATATAAATTAACCAATCGTTCTCATTTACTATTGTGTTACTGGGCTCTAGCATACTACCCAAACCATAAGAGGCATTCAGTTAAATACTTACAGCACAAAGAAATGAGTGAAACTAGTAACATTGGTATTCTACAGTGTAGTACATTTTGACATATGTATTTGAGTGTGAGTAGTATTTTAAATAGATAGGTACATGGGAAGTTGAGGACTCAGTTTGAAACCCATAGATGTAAAGAAATTTTACTATGTGTATTCCATAAAGATGGTGAACATAGCTCAGGAGGTCTTTAAGATAGGCCCCCCTTTTTTTCCCTATAATTCCTTGATAAGCCTTGAAAATACATAGTTTGGTTTCTACATTAAACCTAGAAATATGCATTGAGCTGTCTTTTTGCTTTGCTTATCAGTTAAAAAGATGAGCGAGAAGAATTTTTTTTTTTAAGATTTTATTTATTTGACATGGAGAGAGCACAAGCAGGGGGAGTGGCAGGCAGAGGGAGAGAGAGAAGCAGGCTCCCTTGCAGAGCAGGGAGCCCAATGCAGGATTCTATCCAGGACCCCAGGATCATGACCTGAGCCAAAGGCAATCGCTGAACCAACTGAGCCACCCATTTTAAGATATATCATTTTATGTAGAAATAAGGAAGTTTGAGACTTTTTTCCTCTTTTACAAATAAGAGCAAATCATATATTGACACAAATAACAATACCTGTGTGATTGAAAACTTTTCAATGTTCAGAGATATATCAAGATTCTGATTTTTTGCTTATTGTGTTTTACTTTGTATATCTGTAAATATATTTGTCTCTTACAATATTTTGATAATCTTTTCTATTTAGATTTGTGATTTTGGATTGGCCAGAGTGGAGGAATTAGATGAATCCCGTCATATGACTCAGGAAGTTGTTACTCAGTATTATCGGGCTCCGGAAATCCTGATGGGCAGTCGTCATTACAGCAATGCTATTGACATCTGGTCTGTCGGATGTATCTTTGCAGAACTACTAGGACGAAGAATACTGTTTCAGGCACAAAGTCCCATTCAGCAGGTATGATTTTACTTTAGGCTTTAGTAGCTTTCAATTCTATTACAGATTTAAAGGAAAAACTGTCTTGCACACGTGTCTTGGGCTTATTCGTTGTACTGTCTAAATTGCTTTCGCCAAATTGAGGTTCACTTAAAATTCAGAAAGTTGGAAGCTGAAGATGACAGAGAGATTCATTCTGTAACTTACGAACCTATTAGAGGGAGTGTTGACTTTATCACATGCACGGATGCATAGCAGCTGACTGCTGTAACAATTTGCAGAGGTGTGATCTTCTGTAGTTAGAGGGCCTCTGTTCTTTCTGACTGAATGGGTCAGACCTGAAAATGTATTTGATGGCTTCATGTACTTACACTTTGTGCTTAGAATATAAATTGTGAGGGTTGATTTCCTTAAATCTGAACATTTAAGAACATTTCTAACCTTTATTTTGGAGCTAACGTATTTAAATATGGCAGAGAACAATAGAAGCTTATTAAAACGTAGCTTTAGGAAACCATTTGTGATACTTTATCTGCCCTAAGAGTGAATTTGTTACCCTCCATGTTTTCTTGGGATAATTCCTAAGTACTTTTTTATCCATAAATCTTAGCAATAGTGTTTGCATGAGAATAACGTAACAATGATGTGCTTAGTCTTCAGAATCAAATTGGTGGGTTCAAATCCTAGCTCTGACACTTACTATCTATTAATTCTTGGGCAGATTAAACCATTCTGAGGATTGTTGTGCAGATTAAAAGTAATAGGCTGAAAATGAGGCCTGGCACATAGTGAGCTCTCAACAAGTGTTAGTGGCTGTGAAAGTGATGCCAGGATGCTCGGGATGCAACGGTAAATAAGACAAAGTTAGTTCTCGCCTTTGTGCAACTTTCACATGAGACAGAAAATAAATAAGTACACGAATAAATATAAAGCTAAGTAATGATAAATTCTGTGAAGAAAAATTAAACCAGGTTAGGGATAGGAAATGATGCTAGGGCAAAGCAGTGCTAAAGGATTCTCTGAAAGGATGACGTTTGAAGAGTGGCTCAAGTGAAATGAGGGAGCGAGATACTGGGTAAGTTCCAGGAAAAGGACAACCAACATAATTCAGCTCCTGAGGCAGGAACAAATGTAGCCCGTTGGAGGGATGGCATGATCCAGGGAGAAATCGTAGGAGACCAGGTCAGAGAGAGAGAGAGCGAGCCTGACCATGGTGACTGGATAAGGACTTTGGATTTTATTCTGTCCAAACTGTAATGGAAAGCTGTATGAAGGTTTTTGTTTTTGTTTTTTTGAAGATTTTATTTATTTATTTGACACAGAGAGAGAGAGAGATCACAAGTAGACCGAGAGGCAGGCAGAGAGAGAGGAGGAAGCAAGCTCCCTGCTGAGCAGAGAGCCCGACGCAGGCCTCGATCCCAGGACCCTGAGACCATGACCTAAGCTGAAGGCAGAGGCTTAACCCACTGAGCCACCCAGGCGCCACTGTATGAAGGTTTTGAGCAAGGGAGTGTTATGACTTGATTGATCACATTTTTAAAAATCACCCTGACTACTGTGTATCTTTGTAAATAATACCTGCACTTGACCCAAAATGGAGTAATTTCTTTTATGCTCTTCTAGAAAAGAATTAACTGATACATTAGAAACTGTATCTGCTATGATCAGCATTTGAAATTATTTCTCTGCTATACATTCAGTCTATTTTTATCAAGTTTACATCTTAAAAATTGATCCTGATGATAAAAAATTATCATATATAGTAATAATGTTGGGTACTATTGACAGTACCCACTTTACTATTTGTTTTTTTTAGTAAGTAGATTTTAATGGACTACCTGTAAGACCCATCATGTCTGGACATGAGACATGTCTACCTTACAGTAAAGCTTAAATAGGGGCACCTGGTTGGCTCAGTGGTTTGAGCTTCTGCCTTCAGCTCGGGTCATGATCTCAGGGTCCTGGGATTGAGCCCCACATCGGGCTCTCTGCTTGGAGGGGAGCCTGCTTCCCCCTCTCTCTCTCTGCCTGCTTCTCTGCCTACTTGTGATCTCTGTCTGTCAAATAAATACAATCTTTAAAGAGAAAAAAAGAAAAAGAAAAGTTTAATAAAAGTTAAGGGGTTGTTCGGGACACCTGGGTGGCTCAGTCAGTTGAGCATCTGACTTGACTTCAGCTTATGATCTCAGGGTTGTGGGATCAGCCCCACATCGTGCTTAAGATTCTCCATCTCCCTCCCACCATGTGTGTGTATGTATGCACACACGTGCACACGCACGCAAGTGTATGTTCTCTCTCAAGTAAATTTTTTTTTTTAAGATTTATTTATTTATTTGACAGAGAGACAGCAAGAGAGGGAACACAAGCTGGGGGAGTGGGAGAGGGAGAAGCAGGCTTCTTCTGAGCAGGGAGCCCGATGTGGGACTCAATCCCAGGATCCTGGGATCATGACCTGAGCCGAAGGCAGAGGCTTTAACCCACTGAGCCACCCAGGCACCCTAAACTTCATAGTTTTGATAAGTGCAGAAAATAGGGCTTTATATCTGGCAATCCCAGTACAAGGGAAAGAAGTATTCTGTAGGTAAGAATTTCCCATCCTGGAGGAATCTGAATGACATGTTATTGCTAATTAGGTTATGAAGTTAGAACAGTTTTCACACCACAGAAAATTGTGAAGGTGGTTTCCTATCTACCAAGACTTGAGAAGACCATTTTCTGTCATGCTCAGCTGACTAAGGTGGTCTTATGCAGTGTTACAGTTTTTTCTAAGAACCACCATTTTCTGCCAGTGTAAGAGATTTCTAGAATAACTAGAATGTAAATGATGTGTACAGGCCCAAACATCAATAGCTTAGCTTTCATTTCAGATGTAAAAGTTCTGAGTATTTACTGAGTCACAGCTGTCTGATTTATGGATTAACTCCTTGATGAGCCTAAATCCATTCGAAGCATCAGAATCCATTCATTAACTGTTTGAAAAGAAGACTCATTAGCCATGTGCAAAAGAGCAGTTCACCCCGCAAGGATCATAGATACTGTCTTATCAAGACCCAGGGCAGGTACATGCAGATTCCTATTACTATAGCCTTAGAATGCCCTGCTTGCCAAAACGTATTTTATTTCTATCCTATGGGTTCCTAATAAAAACATTTTTCTGGCTTTTTTAATAGTCCAGAAAGTGAAAGTAGGGGCTCCTATCAGTTAATCTGGAACTTACCTTAAAGACTTGTTTTCTCCCTACATTTTGTCCTCGTCTCTAAGGGCAGTGATTTAAGAGTAATGGAAAGTTGTTTCCATGAGCTCTTACTATCTGTCTGTATTTCATGTTTCCTTGCAGCTGGATTTGATCACGGATCTTTTGGGCACACCATCGCTGGAAGCAATGAGGACGGCTTGTGAAGGCGCTAAGGCGCACATACTCAGGGGCCCTCATAAACAGGTAAATGAGAGGGCGGGGCCTATAGTTGGTAACCACCTGGGCAGGACTTCTCTTCCAACAGAATAATGACTTGAGACTTTTTAAACAAAAACATGACTTACAGGTTTTATTTATTTTTTTAGGTCACAGTGATAAATAAGAAATTGCTAAATATTTGTCAACCCAAATAAAATATCATCATTCCCAATGCCGTGGGAGAGAGTAAATACTTCTGTAGCACTGTTGCTAAGAAATGACTCCTGGCATTTTGTCTCCTGGTCTCTGATGTGTCTGGGAAAAGTTACTGGGGTGGAGCTTTCACTTCAGTGCCATGTATATCAAGATGTCTTTTCTGAATACTGAGCCAAAATACCTGGTTTCTCTTATTCCAGCCGGGAGTATGAGGCTGATTCTATTGCACGCTTACCACTCACACAGAACCATGTTTGAATGCTTGTAGAAAGGAAGTATGAAGAAGAGATTGCCAGATTTGCACTGATCAATATTGCTTGTAACCAGATAAGTCACTGCTGAGAAAGACAAGAAGATGGCTTTTATCTCCACATAAGCAGCATTTTTAAGGAGAACTTTTCCTAATCTACTTTGGACAGAACAGCTTACTGATGTGAAGAGTGAGCAAGGGAAATAGTTTTCCTAGGAACAGCAAACTGAAACAGAAAGAAGGCTTGAACAGAAAGACTCGGCAACTAATTTTCATGGGCTCTGCCTTGGTTTCTTTTAAATTAGTCATTTATAGGGGCGCCTGGGTGGCTCAGTGGGTTAAAGCCTCTGCCTTCTGCTCAGGTCATGATCTCAGGGTCCTGGGACCGAGCCCCGCATTGAGCTCTCTGCTCAGCAGGGAGCCTGCTTCCTCCTCTCTGTCTGCCTGCCTCTCTGCCTACTTGTGATCTCTGTCAAATAAATAAATAAAATCTTTAAAAATAAATAAAAAAAAATAAATTAGTCATTTTTATGCTCTGGTTGATCATTACATCTGATTGATCTGAGTAGCCGAGTTTGCTACTCCTCTCAAATTACCAGCCAGACATTTAGGCAGGGCCTTATGCCTTGCCCCTGCAGTTTCTCTCTCTAATTCCAGTGTGACTCCAAAGCTCCCATTTTCACATCATAGGGAGGGGGCAATGGGTTAAGTGTGTTCTCTTCTAAAACCAGTCTGAACTAGAAAAACAGAGATGTGGATGCTGGTATTTTAAATAACCCCTGTTGGTTATATCTTTCTGTTGTATTTAGTTTATAAACTGTGAAATAATTTGAGCCCTAACTCTCTTAGAAGAGCACACAGTAAGTCTTAACCTAGAGGAAGGTTCTGTATTAATGGAAGGAATTCAAAAGATCTATTATGTTCTATTTATTGGCCATTATCAGGAATATTAAAGTAATTTATCAATACTTCATTGTAAATGTGTCCTTGGAACTAGCAAAATAATTTTCCTCTTTTCCTGACCTTAGGTCAGTAAATCTTTCCTGGCTAAATGTAGCCAGTAATGAAATGTGATTAAGATCTCATACCCTGGTGCCACCCTTCCATCTCTAGAGGAATTTTAACTATTGCTAATGGTTGCCAGCTAATTAATCCTTTGTGTCAGAGCTGCTGAAGTGCAGCTGAGAGAGCAAGGCTTCCTAAGGAGTTTCCTCCCTGCCTTCTAGAACAGATCAAAATGGTAACATACTGCACCGAAGGTATCTGTGCTCTCCTTTGAGCATTCCTGGCAAGTGAGTCCTTTTCCTTCTAGAAATTTTTTAAAAACCTGTTAGTTGTAAAAACCTTAAATTTTCAATTAAATAAAAAATAGTTAAGTATCATATTACTGTCTAAAAGGAGGGAAGAAAGGAAAATATAAAGTCCTATGTTTATTTAACTAGTTAAGTAGGTTAAGATGTTAAGCAGAGGGGCGCCTGAGTGGTTCAGTGGGTTAAATAAAGCCTCTGCCTTTGGCTCAGGTCATGATCTCAGGGTCCTGGGATCGAGCCCCGCATCGGGCTCTCTGCTCAGCTGGGAGCCTGCTTCCCTCTCTCTCTCTGCCTACTTGTGATCTCTGTCTGTCAAATAAATAAATAAAAATCTTTAAAAAAAAAAAAAAAAAAGATGTTAAGCAGAATTTTTTCCTACACATTTTTACATGAACCGGCCTCTTAACAAGAATGCCTCTTAGAATTTATTTTGTTTATCATTAAGTTTTGTGATGGTCTTAAGAGAGCACCACAGCTACCACTAAATTTAAATCAGCTACTGGAGTATTTTGGTTTTGAAGAGAAGACTGGTAGGGTGGAAAGAAATTAGGTGACCATTTTTCCTCAAAGGCTAGATACTCTTTACACAAAACTTTAAAGTCTTTTTTTTTTTTTTAAGATTTTATTTATTAATTAGAGAGAGAGAGAGCATAAGCAGGGAGGAAGGGCAGAAGGAGAAGGAGAAGCTGACTGAGCAGGGATCCAGATACGGGGCTTGATCCCAGGATCATGACCTGAGCCAAAGGCAGATGCTTAACCAACTGAGCCACACAAGTACCCCAGAACTTTTAAGTCTTATCTTTAGATGCTTTTAACCAGGGCTAGAAATGGTCTCCTGAGTCAACTCTTCATGGTCTTTGAGCAGCAACCCAGGTAGACTGGTATAGAGTAAGTTATGCCTACCATATGTAATTAAATGTAAATGAACTTAGCACACTACTTAGTTCCAGTTTTTCCCCAGTATAGAACTTCAGGTTTTCATCTACATTTGCTAGTTGATCTGTATACCACTAGTGCTCTCAAGAAAGGTTAGCAGACCCTTGAAGCTCTTTACTTAGACCATCATTCAGACTCTACTTTTCCCTTTTCCACTCTCTATTCCTTCCCTTACCCCATGATGCATATCTTTTATGCCTCTTGTTGGCCTGTTAGCAGCTGTTTGAAGGTATCTCCATTCATGTTATACCTGTTTAGAGCTGAGATCGGAAGACACATACATACCCATGCCCAAGTATATTGGTATGTAGCCACTTGGATTTTTTTTTTTTTTTTAACTTTAAAAGATGAATTTGGTCCCAAATCCAGTATGGACACTATAGCTTGTGTAGTTCTGTACATGATGACTGTTCTGCAAAGAGCATAGTTCTTAGCTCAGCGCCCCACAGCAGATATATGCTCGTTTATTTCTTTGGTCTGTAGTGATGAAGAGTGCAGGCTGCGGTGGCAGTGTCAGGCTTAGCGCAGTGCACAGAATGTTGATGGTGTTCCGGGAGTTGTATGCTACAGTTTTCAGACAGACTGAATGTGAATCCTGCCTCAACTGGTAACTCATTTTGTGATCTTGGGTAAATTATTTAACCTCTGTGTGCCTCAGTTCATTCTTCTATAAAATGGGAATAAAAATGGTTCTTACCTCATTAAACTGTTATGATGATAAAGAGATAGTGCATGCCAGGAAGCATAGAATAGTGTCTGGCATTCTAAACATTTAGTAAATATTAATAAATATTACTGGTTAAAGTTACCACCCTAACATGGTGTAGCTATAGCTTGTGATCTTTTTTTTTTAAATATATACAACATTATGATCAAATGGAGTTTGTTCCAGGGATCCAAAGACAATTCACCTACAGAAAATCTATTAATGAATTTTGACATTTTAAATGAGAAAAATCATGATTATCTCAATTGATGCAAAAAAGGCATTAGATAAGGTTCAGTCCTTTTTATGTGCTACCATGATGAAAGTTCTTTACAAAAACCTGTAGATAAATTTATAGATAAGTATATGAACAAGGCAGAATGAGCTGTATTAACACATTACTAATTAAATGAGATAAAAATGCATGCACAGAGAAAAGGCCTCTAACTTTTAGAAAGGACTCAGAATTCTTTTTTTATTTAATATTTTATTTCTTTATTTGCCAGACAGAGATCACAAGTAGGCAGAGAGGGGGGGGGGGCGGTGGGGGAAGCAGACTCCCTGCTGAGCAGAGAGCCTGATGCGGGGTTCCATCCCAGGACCCTGAGATCATGACCAAAGCTGAAGGCAGAGGCTTTAACCCTCTGAGCCATCCAGGCACCCAGGACTCAGAATTCTTAATGAAGCTGCTTAGGCTATTAGAGGTCTTCCCAGGGCAAGATATACCTTACTGTACTTATACTAGATTACTGGATATAGGAGTTAGGTAAACTATATAGAAACTCATGAGGAATACTTCTAAGATGTCAATACAAGTTTTTGAGTTTGGACTATAAAAAGAAAAACTTTTTTCAAGTAGTTCCCACTTAAGTAGCTACTCAAAGTTAGATGGAAATAGCCATTCTATACTATTAATAATTATTTCTAACAATATTTAGAAGTATGCTATATACTAGTCACTGTCCCAACCACTTCTTATACATTAGTTCATTAAACCCTCACAGCACTATATACCATTTGTTCCTTTTTACAAACAGGAGATGAAGGATTACTGAGGTCAAATAATAAGCTTAAGGTCATAAGCCAGATCTCAAAAGTAGGTTTTTCTACTTCTAAAACTTATGTTCTTAGCCAGTATACACTGCCTGACACATACACCTTCACAGCAGATTTTTTTTATTAATTTCATTTATACATATGCAAGTAATGTGAGTACATGTAAAATAAAAATTTTACAGTTCGTCATCCATAGCTACCCCCCATACTGTCCCAGTCACCTCTAGATTAATGTGAGAATATCTTCCCAGACATATTTTGTTTATTTATATATATTTATATAAACAAAAATATGTCCTATTGTTTGTTGGGACTTCTTAAAAAATACAACCATACATATACATAAGGAGAATCTAATTGGCTATTTTCTTAGAGTACAGATTACTGTCTCAAATTAATTTTCTTGTGTGCTTGATTAATAAACATATTCCCATGGGTGCCTGGGTGGCTCAGTGGGTTAACCCTCTGCCTTTGGCTCGGGTCGTGATCTCAGGGTTCTGGGATTGAGTCCCGCATTGGGTTCTCTGCTCGGCAGGGAGCCTGCTTCCCCATCTCTCTCTGCCCCTCTGCCTACTTGTAATCTCTCTCTGTCAAATAAATAAATTAAAATCTTATTTAAAAAAAAAAAATATATATATATACACACACACACACATACTCCCAGACAGTTTGTCAGGACTCTTTTCGGTGAAACTCAATTAAAACTGGCTTAAGCAAAAAAGGGAACTTACTGGCTCATAGCACTTTTCATATGAAGTTGTTGATCTACAGCTGACTCAGTCTTTGCTGGATTTAAGTAGTCAAGTGATGTTCCGAGCCAGGAATCTGATTCTTCTCTGTTTTGTTTTCCTGTGTGTTGGCTTCATTTTCAGAGAAGCTTTCTTTTCCCCTGTGTGTTTGTAAAAATGGAACCAGTGGTCCAGACCTATGTTCTACTAGCGTATCAGTCCTTCAGGAAAGAGCTAGAAAAAATATTTGGAAGGTCTCTGATTCAGTTATGAGTATGTTTGGTTATGAGAAATAGAAAATCTTGCTTATTATGGTTTAAAGACATAAGGGTTCATTTTTTTCTCATATCAAGAAGTCCAGAAGTTTGCAGTCTGGAGCTGGTATAGCTGCTCAATTTACGTCATCAAGGACCCAGGGTTTTTTTTCTTTCTTTCTGCTCTGCCATCTGAGGAATATTGATTTCATACCCTCTAGCTTATCTCCTCCTGGCCACAAAATGACTGTAGCTTGAAATCGTATTCACATTCCTAGCAAGAAAGTGGAGGAAAGAGGGAACACTAGTGCTATCTGTCCCTTTTATTAGGAAAGGATATTTTTCCAGAAGCCTGCCTAGCAAGGTTCTGCTTCTATGTCATTGTCTAGAACTGTGTAATATGTAACCTCCCAGATGTTAAACAAGCTTTAAAAAAAAAAAAAATGAGTGTTTCCTATTTTCTGTAATAAAGGTAGGTAAAGGAGAAGAGGACTGGGGTGGGTATGTGTTGGATTAGCCAGTCCGTTGGCTATCTTCTGTTTTAGAACCTGTATCTTTCCCAGAGTCAGTCAAAGGTGTTCAGGGGAATATTTCATTTGATTGGCCAAGCCTGGGTCAGATGCCCATCCTTGGAATTGAGAGATTGAAATCAAGTTCAGCCCTTTGATTTATGAGCAAAGAGGGAGTGGTGTTCGGTATTTTTGTTTGTTTGTTTGTTTCTTTTCTACAGCTCAGAATCTTGGATGAATGCAATCTTAGTTGCCAGGACCCAAGTATCTTTTAAAGTAGATACTTGGGAGGGGCGCCCAGGTGGCTCAGTTTTTGGGCGTCTGCCTTCCGCTCAGGCATGATCCCAGGGTCCTGGGATTGAGCCCTGCATCAGGCTCCCTGCTCAGCAGGAAGCCTGCTGCTCCCTCTCCCACTCCCCCTGCTTGTGTTTCCTCTCTCACTGTGTCTCTCTCTGCCAAATAAATAAATAAAATCATTAAAAATAAAACAAAAAAATAAAGTAGATACATGGGGCACCTGGGTGGCTCAATCAGTGAAGCCGCCAGCTCCTGATTTCAGTTCAGGTCATGATCTCAGGATCTCAGGATCGTGGGATCAAGCCCTGCATTGGGCTCTGCGCTCAGCACAGATTCTGTGTGAGATTCTCTCCCTCCCCCTCTCCTCTTCTCACTTGTTCTAAAATAATAAAATATTTAAAAGAAGAAAAGAAAATAGATACTTTTTGAGGCACTGACTTACTGGTAGGATTGAAAACACTATTATCAGCCCTTAGTCCTTCTGTTCATCTCTTTTAAGGTTTAGATTTTCCTTTTTCCTCAGATTGCTCCAACTAACCGTGACAGAAATGCATGTAATATTTTCGTTAAAGTGAAAGTGGTTCTGTCTCCTGACAGGAACCATATCTTACATTTAATAGATTATGTTAGAGAGTTCATTCAATTCAAACTAATTATTTTTCAGGTCGGGATTTCTTTTATATAATCCCCGCGTGCTCACCATATAGTGCACTGCACATTGTGCATACTTAATTAACGTTGCTGACTGATGATCACAGCTTTTTTCCCACTGGCTAAAAACTTACAGAACAGGACTCAAATGGCCAAGCCAGCCTAGTCAACTCTATTGTGGTGACCAGCACTCTGCCCTTGGCTTATGATGACTGTGACATATAATTTAGGGCCCCTCATCCAGGTCCAGAAGCTCATCCTTGCTTCATTTCACTGACAGTTAATCATAGTCATTAATGGAGGACTCTTTATAACCCTTCCCATCCTCGTGATTCAGCACTGGCGCCCACTCACTCCTACATTGCTACGTGGCTTATAAACTTGCAAAACGAACAGAAAATGGACTGGCATGTCTTGGAAAAAGTAATATCTGTGAATGCTGGGGGAATTGACAAAAACTTTTTCCCAAATGAAGTATTTAGGGCATATTTCTAAGCATTCTGTTTTTTCATTCAAATTGATTCTGTTGTGCTTGACTGAGAAATATGAACTTCTTATCTAGTTCTGATACCTTGTGCCCAGCTGGTTTCAGCCATAATGGCTGATGAATTAGAGGGGAAGAAAATGGAATTAGATATTTGGCATCTCTAGTACAGCATCTTTCCCATGGAGCCAGTGCTAGGAACTAAATTATTAGTGGTTATCCTTCTGGAGAGGTATTGGCATAACTGAACTGACTTCTTTTTCTCTGTGCCCCTTCTGAACGTGCAACACAGAAAAGGAGAAAACATAAGATGATGGTTCGAGGCTGTGGTGAAACTTAGCCTTATTTTTAGTGTGTTGTTAGGGTGTAATTCTATAAAGAAAGATAAGATGGGAGAGGGTGTAAAATTTCAGGTTACCTTAACATCCACTCATATGATTTTCACAAGCTCCTCATGTATCCAGTTGTCCTCGTGTCTTAACAAATTTTGCCTTCTAATTTGTCCTCTATTCTCCATCCTCTAGAACTGTTTGTTCATATGTTTTCCTTGCCCATCCAAGACCCAATATTCATCTTTGTTACTCCAACATCTAACCCAGGCCCTGGCATTTTGTGCATGGTAAATGATTAACAATGCTTTGGATCAGTAGGCTGATCTGTGCCAGTACAATCTAATAGAAGAGAAAGCTGAGGTTCTAGCAACTTACTTGACCATAGTGATGGCAAAGTTAGAATTGGAACCCACCTGTTCTAGTACTCATCCCAGTGTTCCTGACCCTGACCCTGACCTTAAGCTATAACACCATCTATAGATGTTATACATGATATAACATCTATAACACTAAATTCACTTGGAAAGTGGAAAGGAGGGGTGCCTGGGTGGCTCAGTGGGTTAAAGCCTCTGCCTTCGGCTCAGGTCATGATCCCAGGGTCCTGGGATCGAGCCCTACATCGGGCTCTCTCCTCTGCAGGGAGCCTGCTTCCTCCCCTCTCTCTATCTCTGTCTGCCTCTCTGCCTACTTGTGATCTCTGTCTGTCAAATAAATAAATAAAATCTTAAAAAAAAAAAAGAAAGAAAGTGGAAAGGAGGGGCTCCTGGCTGGCTCAGTTGGTGGAACGTGTGACACTTCAGGTTTGTGGGTTTGAGCCCTGTGTTGGGTGTAGAGATCACTAAAAAAATAAAATTTAAAAAAAAAATTATTTTTAAAGATTTTATTTATTTATTTGACAGAGAGAGATCACAAGTAGGCAGAGAGGCAGGCAGAGAGAGAGGAAGGGAAGCAGGCCCCCTGCTGAGCAGAGAGCCCGATGCGGGACTCGATCCCAGGACCCCGAGATCATGACCTGAGCCGAAGGCAGCGGCTTAACCCACTGAGCTACCCGGGCACCCTAAAAATTATTTTTTAAAAATATTTTTTTTTTAAGTGGAAAGAAGATATTTGCTTATGGTGAGATATTTTGGTAAGAATTGGCTGAAATTTGGCTGCTAACCTGCATAAACCATTGAAAAGGACCAGCTATTTACGACAAACCAAGAATCAGAATCTTTAAAAAAATATCAGATTACTTCATTTTACACAATAAAGAAATTGTTAGGGGAAATATGTAAAGTAAGTTGTCAATCAAAACCTCCACACTCTCCACATGCCACTCCTTGACTAATGTAGATAATTTCAGGACTACCATAGACTTAAATATTTTTAACAAGAAATTCTTCTCTATTGGCAAACAAATATTTGAGTGCCAATTGTAAATGGGTTCTGTGCACATAACCCTTTTTCTGTCATAATCCTATCGCGTTTCCTATAATTTTTGAGCTAAAGTGAACTTCAGAGATCATTTAGTCCAACCATCTCCTTCTGTGCTTCAGAATACTGGGATTCTCACATGTTGATTTATCCAATTGGTTAGTGAATGAGAGCCTCATCTCATCTTATCTCTGTTAGTCCTTGATCCTGCAGAAAACTTCTATGAGGTAAATAATTCTCTCCCGACGATTCTGAGACACTTTGCTGCTATTCTTACTGGGTTTTTACTATGTGGCTTTGTTGGAAATAGGCGACGTGTAAGACAGAGTTCACCTGCACAGATTCCATGCTTGACTTTGCACGTACCTGTGGTTTTAAATATTTTTGCCTCCCAATCCCAGGCATGTTTGGTCTTCCCTTCTTGCCTGAGCATTTACAGTATAAGACTAACAGGAGCACCATATTTACAGGATTAGCCTTCATTTTTTGTAGGTTCCTTTGTGAGCTAACCTACAATAGGTAATCCTGCAATATAAAATATTCTACTGGAAGTCAGTAACAGTTGCTGCTTCTGAAGATTGGTTAATGAGGGGAATACCCCTTCCCTTTGAGGTTATACATATATGCACACAACTTTTGAGCTGGATACTTGTAATAAATTGGCTGTATTCTCTATCTACGTACACAGAGACTCACATATTTTAATTCTTCATTTCTTGCAGCCATCTCTTCCTGTACTTTATACCCTGTCTAGCCAGGCTACACATGAAGCTGTTCATCTCCTTTGCAGGATGTTGGTCTTTGATCCAGTAAGTAGTGTTTATTTTTATATTGTTTTAATGTATTAAAAATACATGTGTTCTAAGAAAAACATACTGGCTTTAAATAGATGAGCAATGTAAAGGATGACTTTTCAAAGATAAACTTCAGTCCCCAGTTTTGTGTGTACCACTGTGCTCACTCACTGCACAGAAGTTTGATTATTAACACATAAACATCTAGGTGAAAAGAGATAAGGAACTGCACCATCCTTATTTATCTCAGGATTTGAAAAAAGTTTGACGCCAAGGTAAATCAGGAGAAAGGAATTTTAACATTCTTGGAAAAAATCTGCCCATTATATTGCATAAGGAACTGTTGACTTATTTGGTGGTTGAGATGGTAGCTTTATCAAATGCCATTTGTAGTCTTGACTCTTCTGGGACAAAGTTCAGGTCTTCATTTACCTATTCATCCAAAGAGTATTTATTACTCATCTCTGTTCTGGTAACTATTGCCAAAGAAGACTCAAAAATGAAAACATTTAGAAAAGAACGTCTTACTTGCCGAGAGTATAAGAATTCCTCAAGTACAAACACAGCAGGTATTTAAAGAGGGAAAAACCACCAAAGTACCATTTATGAAATTTACATTGGTATGTTCATAATGAGAAAACAGCTGCATTTCAGGGGACGGAGTGAATTTTTTCTTCATTTGTTGTTTATTTTTTGGTTTCCATTTGTTTACTTCAGCATGTGAGGTGCCCATGATATGGGAAGCAAAACAGAGTGGCCCTTCTTGTTTCCACAACCCCTCCCTGTGGCCAAGCTTCTACCATTGAGGACAGTTTCCAGCACATCACTTGCTCAGTGAGCTAGTGATTTAGTGTCATTAGTTTGATTTTTTTGTTTTATTTGGCAAGCCTGTCTACATAGCTAAACTATTTATACAACAGATGTTAATACCTAAAGACCTTTTACATATTTTTTATATATCTTTTGTGGTTAACAAAACTAGAACCACATGAATTTCAAGCGTCAGAGGTCATTTCTGTATGCCTCTAGACAATATATAACAAATATATTTTGTATATTAGTATATAATAAATAAATTATAATAAAGGCCCTGAGGTTAAATTTTATGTTTATGTGTCAGAAGTATGTTACTCTTTTTATTCTATTAAGATTGAGAACCAAGAACCACGTGATTCACCGGTACCAACTTTTATTTGCAGTACTTAGAGCTGTTAGCTGTCCTATTTCTCTGAGATCCCATGATAATTAATGATCCTGTCCTGCCAGGAATTCATAATCTTTACAGCCCTAAGGCTGGAATTTCCTAAGCCACAGAGTGGATACCAGGCATGTTTTCCTGGGAGGCCTTTTACACATCAGTTCTACACATGAAATGTCCTTTTTCCTTAAGAGTGGGATTGTCACACCTAATTAAAATGAAGCTTTTGGTGTGTTCATAGTTATACATTAGGTTTATCTATAAGAAGGAGGTAAGATTTATCTGATAAAAAAATAAGAGGATCAATTCTTACTGGGCCTATGCAAATAACTCCATGGTTATTTTTAAAAAAAGAATTCCATTAACATACCCCATGTAATATTTACCCATTTTTATCATTGTCTTATAGAACAAGGCCAAAATATATTATTATTTATTAAAATATATATTAAATATATAAAATATATATAATATTATTTATTTACCAAAATATTTATTTACAGAATCATTTTTAAATTGGCCTGATGCTTTATTAGTTTATGACTGATATTAAGGATTCTTTTCTTTCTAATTCTGAGGGTTCAATTAGAAATAGATAGCATTTTTAAAGAGTGTTTCTGATTTTAACCTGTTAAATTGAGGCTTGATGCTTTATTAGTTTATAACTGATATTAAAGATTCTTTTCTTTCTAATTCTGAGGGTTCAGTTAGAAATAGATAGCATTTTTAAAGAGTGTTTCTGATTTTAACCTGTTAAATTGAGGGCTAGAGATACATTAAGAAGAAAAAAATGAGGTTTTAAAAAATATCCATTAAAAATAGAACATCAGCCATAATTAAATCACTTTATTTAGTCCGGTTAGTCTGAGATAATTATTTAATTACTTTACTGATCTTGGGTTAAGCATGTGTCTGCTCTTGGACTGACACATTCTGAAATCCTGACTCAGTTACTTGATTTAATCTAGGTGATGGCTGTCTGTGGTGATAATACCAGCTGTTCCCATAAGTTTATGTCCTGAATTTAGTAGTCAGGAGTACCTGGTGTAACAGTCCTTTACTGAGGTTCTTGTGATGTTTCTCATGGGAAATTTAATTCCTTAGCTTGTAGTAGAAGTCTTTAGGCAAATAAAAGGAGAAACCAGAAACCACTAAAGGATAAGGTGAAGGGCTCTGGTTCTTTTATTCTAATAATATCAATAGTGTTGGAAAGGATGGGTTGTAGTAATCAGTTTATAAAGGTGTAATTAACTATTAACTCAAATAGTGAAGGCATTAAACAAATCTCCAGAGACTTTATCTAAATGCAATAAATAGTTACAAGCAGTATTTTTAAAGCACAGCAATAATTATTAGGAAGTTAGACAAAATTATTCACTTTTTTCTCTTGCCAAATATATCTGTTATCTTGCATAAACATCTTCCTATCATCACATACTCTTTTATACTCTTTACAAAATACATATTACTTTAACCCAAAGATACTTGCACATCTTTTTTAACTGTTTATTGATGGCTCCTCTATGATATATTAATGAAGAGTCTTTGTATATTAAAATTATGTTGTCCAGATATCCCAACGACTGTCTATTAACTCAAATTAATTATTGCCAAGGTCTTAATATTAACTAAGAATCAGATTAAAATTTAAGTTGACAAATGAAGTCCTTATGAATTGTAACATTCTAAAAACTAATTTCTTTAAAAATTAATTAATTTAAATAAAAACGAATTTCTTTTTAAAAGCACATTACCTGTTATCATTCATCTAATGTAGTTGAATACATAATTTTGCAATTCTGTAATCTTACACAAAGGGATATTAGTTTATCTGACTAACAAAATCAGTGGGAAAAAAATTAAATTCAAAATGATTAGACTTTTTGTGAGAAAACAAACCCAAAATTTATAGAATATTGTGATGGCATTATGTGTACATGGCAGTAAAATCAGAAAGAAAACAGAGATTTTAAAATATTTATAACTATTAACTCAGACTGATTTGTCCAGAGTCACCTTGCATAGTAATACCATATGACCTCTTTATCTTATACAATTATATACTAGATATTAAAACTTTTTTAAGTTAAGAGAAATATTTTGCTTTTTACTTTGTAAGCTACTAAACCAAGAATATTATTTTAATTCACAGTTAAAGCTTTATTTAATCTTTGAGTTACAGCTTTTTTTTTTTTTTAAGATTTTATTTATTTATTTATTTATTTGAGAGAGAGACAGAAAGAGCAGGAGGCGAGGAAGAGGGACAAGCAGACTCCACGCTGAGGGCAGAGCCTAACACAGGGCTCAATCCCAGGACCCTGAGATCATGACCAGAGGTGAAATCAAGAGTCAGACACTTGACTGACTGAGCCACCCAGGCACCCCTACGAGTTACAACTTTAGCAAGAAAAAATTTCTAAATAGCCAATACATTTAATACATAAAGAAGAATAGTGTTTTAAAAATCTTTTCATTTCTTTGTATATGTCTTTAATGTGTTGATATTGGTTCTCAAAACCAGTTAGAATAGGAATTTGCCCCATTAGCTTTTTAAGAGATCTCATAACATGATATTATTAACTCCCCTCAGAGGTATACAAAGTACATTAATGTGTTTGCTTAGAAATATTTTTTATTTGTAAAATGGAAATTTTTATTAACTCTTCAGAACTAAAAGAACCACAATTCTGATGAAGCAACAAAATCTAGGGTAGAAACAAGTGTCCACATCTATTATAAATGTTGATCAGTTAAACAACGTGTGTACAATATGTCATTAAGAATATATATGAACATGGGACGCCTTGGTGGCTCAGTCAGTTGAGTGTCTGTATCTTGATTTTGACTCAGGTCATGATCTTGGGGCCCTGGGATCGAGCCCCAAGTCGGGCTCTGTTGCTCAAGCAGGGAGTCTGCTTCTCCCTCTTTCTCTGCCCTTCCCCCAACTTGTACATGCACGCACACATGCTTTCTCTCAGATAAATAAATCTTTATATATATATAGAGAGAGAGAGAACACAATTAAGCACCACTAGGTCCTTCCAAAGAACATTATTGAAAAATCTGAGTAATTTTGTGATCCCTTTTTCAATTTAGTAAAGCAGTTTTTCTTTTCAGTGTTCATACCCTTTCCAAAATGACAGTCTCCTTTCTTTGCAGAAGTTCTAAAGAGACATTAATTTATTTAGAAAAATGAAAGCTGATCATTGATTGCATGCTAAGGATTTGATTTACTTTTTGTTCAAAGACTTCTCTTAGGTAAAATACTTTAGAGGACCCCATGTTGGTGCACACAGAACGTTCAAACACAGAGCATGCTATCAGTCATTGGGATAACACCAAAATCTTTTCAAACCTGCATGCTGGAATTTTAGGAAATATCAGAATCCACAGACAAAAAAAAAAACTAACAGGAAAACCAGATTCCAGCTGCTGGTGGCAGCTGAGATGACCCAATTTCTGACATCTGCCACCTGACAGAAATGACTTAATGGTCAGATGATAAACTTAAAACCCAGATTCACCCACTGCTAACACCTGTGTGTTCACAGTTGGCCATGCTCAGTCAGAAACAGAAATAGATTTGTCCAAGAACCAGCTCTAGTATGCAGAAGCCAAGGAGCTTAGTCCCTCACATGAGACCGGCCAGGGTCACTGAGGATTCCCAAGGGGCCCGGTCCCAGGCACAATGTACTGTCTAGCCAGCTTGTTTCCTTTGGTTCTGACAATAGACCTTTATCCCAGTGAAACCTCTAGGAATAGCTGGATCCATTTAGAAAAAAAAAAGAAGAGAGGCGCCTGGGTGGCTCAGCGGGTTAAGCCTCTGCCTTCAGCTCAGGTCATGATCCCGGGGTCCTGGGATCGAGCCCCGCATCGGGTTCTCTGCTCAGCAGGGAGCCTGCTTCCCCCTCTCTCTCTGCCTGCCTCTCTGCCTACTTGTGATCTTTCTCTCTGTCAAATAAATAAATAAAATCTTTAAAAAAAAAAAAAGAAAAAGAGAAAAAAAGAAGAAGCTTACTTGCTAAGAGTACCAGCGAGTCAAGCTTCAGAAGGGCTGGATCACCAGTTATACCATATGACAGGTAGTGGAAGAAACAAAACCAAGGTTGTCAAGTTTACATTCGTCTGTTCATGGTATATAAACAGCAGCTTTCTTTTGTGATTATCATATCCTGAAAAGTCATGACATGCCTTTTAACATCAGCAAAAAATTAGAAGTGTTTTTAGGGAAACCAGGTTTATGGGAAATAGTTAACATTTTGTTATTTGGGGGACCAGAACCAGTCAGGATGATCCATTTATTTTTGGTTTGAGCACCAAATGGTTTCCTTTGTTTTTAATTGTGTTGTGTATGAAGTGGGAAAGAGTGTCCATTTTTGTTACTCTGTACTGAATCCATCCTTAAATTCTTTAAAATGTACATGTATGTCCACTAAGCTAAAAAGAAGAGCAGGGTTGTTTCTTTTTTTTTAATGGAGAAATGATTTTATGATTTATGTAAACCTGAACCTACTACATGAAGTATTCTGATCTGAAGTGCTAGAAAACCACAGGCCACTTTGCCGGGGGTCCCGGCCAAGGGGAGCGTTCCCGGAGCAGAGTTGAGGGACGGGTTGAGGCCGCGCGTCTGCCTCCGTCTATTCGGGCTGCTGGGGCCCAAAAGGGTGGTGCTGACCTCTGCAGGAGAACGAAGATTTCTCTCCCTCGGAAGCTTGTCCGTGGCGCCTAAAGGCACGTTTTGCGCCGGGAAGGGAAGGGGAGTCCTGGCGAGGGACTCAGGGTTCCCCAGGTGGAAGCCCCGAGGAAGCCACGGTGTTGGCTGTCAAAACATGGCAGTCAGACGTTATCTGCCGCCTGACCCCAGCAGTTCCCCATAGGCGTTTGCCCTAAGTTCAGTTGGCATTCTAAGAGAATAAAAGTTTCAAGCAACTTTGTAAAATTGCCACTGTGATCACATCTCTACCAAATGCTGAAACACATTTAGAAAATATAACTGTTATTTAAAATGTAAACTTATCCCCTCCAAAGCTTTGCATATTTAAATGTCATGGTATTTGCCATTTTTGATCATGCATATATCTATTTCAAGGTAGGAACTCTTCGGGATCTTAGCAGAGTCACTTCTAAATGCTTTCTGGTGGTGTCTGGTGGTTGGTTGTCCTACGTCATATACTCACTCTGCTGCTGCATTAACGTGCCTCTGCGTTCAGACATCCTTCTTTATACAAGACACACTATAAATTAGGGATAAGCTGTGAGAAGCAGTCACTGTGTCTTAATGAAAGATCCTGTGTGGACAGTCATGTTTATCTGTAGTGTTGATGTGCTGGTCTCTAAATTTGATTTCAGTCCAAAAGAATATCCGCTAAGGATGCCTTAGCCCACCCCTACCTAGATGAAGGCCGACTACGCTATCACACGTGTATGTGTAAATGTTGCTTTTCCACCTCTACTGGAAGAGTTTATACCAGTGACTTTGAGCCCATCACCAATCCCAAATTTGATGACACTTTTGAGAAGAACCTCAGTTCTGTTCGACAGGTTAAAGGTGAGTATCATTTTTGGCCTCCGGCCAGGCAGGATGAATAATAACATTTTCCATTATGTGGCTGTGAAAAACTGAGTCTGGATGGTGACCAAAGTTCCTCCGTATGTTTATTTTACAACCTTGCATATAGCTGTTTGTCCAGGGCATATATGCCAAGAAAGCTATGTGTGTTATAAAAACAGATTTAATATTGCATCCAATGAAGGGTCAGGCAGAGCAGCTTTTCAGACTGACTTGTTTAGTGAGTGTGAGACTCAAAGCAGATAATATGTATTCACTCAGTGTAATTTCATTGCATGAAACATGTTGGACTTTTTTATATAACGTGCAAATTTTAGGAAGGATAAACACCCACTGAGGGAATCATTCCTTGAATGATCACAAGAGAGGAGAATTTCCAATAATCCACTCGTAAAATTCCCTGACACGATCTCCTGCTGGGGTGGAGATGGAGGTTAATGACACCCAAAATTCTGAATTATATTAGACATTTTAGGGCGTTTTAGAAGAGGTAAACAGCCCAAAACTATGAACCTAAACAACTGTGGGGTTTTTTTTAAGTGATTTTCAAAAGAGCAATAATTACCATCAACGTAGAAAATCGATTCATAAGGCCAGCTCTGTGGAATCACTGTCAAATTTGTAGACCATTTTACTCATCCCTTGGATGGAGTTTTAAACCCATATAAATGCCATTTGGTCAGGGGGGTGGGGAAGTTGCCTGTGTTTAGCAGTCACTGTCACTTTGGTTTCAGGAAAGTTCCACTGGATCCTGACTTATACATGATCTGTGTGCTTGACCTCACAAAACCAGTGGGAAATGCTGTTTGCAGATGGTGGCCAGTTAGCTGAGAGTCTAGTGCTCACAGGCCTGCAGATTGGCATGGATTGTATGATGTTTCTTTTCTCCACAGAAATCATTCACCAGTTCATTTTGGAACAGCAGAAAGGAAACAGAGTGCCTCTCTGCATCAACCCGCAGTCTGCTGCTTTTAAGAGCTTTATTAGGTAACTATATGTATGTAATTCTTACTTTCTTGTTACTAAAAGGATGTCATTGTGATTTGATTATTCAGCATATTTCTCTTTTTATTTAGATTAGATAATACAGACAAAAACAAGGTTTCTTTTACGAGTTTTGACTTTAGTCAAAAGCAAGTAAAAAATGTGAGCATTGGTTTCTACACTGATGCCCCTTCATGGGGGTTGATTGGGTGGTGGTGGGGGTGCTTTGGCAGTTTTGTTCACAGATGACCGCTCTGCTCACTGCTTGTGCACGTGCATAGGGTTCCTCCTGCAGCAGCAGCATGGCGGCCACTGCCCTCGAAGTAGACGTGGTCATCTTGGTTCCCACTACCATCCCCACCACCTTAATAATAATGCAAGCAAGATGATTTTATAGGTAGAGTGCTGGTGTGTCCTATCTAGAGTTTTGTTTAAAGAGCTTCATAGCTGCTGACAAGTCTCATTCACTTTGTCTCCCACCCTGTCCTTTCCTTCTCAGTGTCTTTTTCCCTATTGCTTGCATCAATTAAGGTACAGCCAGGAGGAAGCACACCAGTAATGTGAACAGGGAAAATTTAGTAGTGAGAAGTATTAACTAGGAAAAGATGGTTAAATTCCAAAAGGTGCATAAGAAGATTCTGGAGGGCCCCAAAGTAGCAAATGCAGAAAGCAGGTACTCCCTCTAGACTAAGGAAGAATGAACAAGGAAGATATTAAGAATTTGGAGAAGGACCCTCCACCCAAGGCTAATAAAATTTGGACCTCTTTGTAGAGGATATGACTGCCACAAAAACACACAGAGCTTGAGGGTGGTGAAGAAACTTTGCAAAAGGTGTGGGCAGAACTGGTCCATCAGAGAGGCCTGCTGGGTTGCAGAGAAACTTGCCAGAAAGTTTGGGTAGGACAAAACCGGGCCTTCCACGTCAAAAAACCACTCCAGAACCAGGAAGGGAAGCTGCTTCCTGATGCTGTGGCCTTGCAGTGTCCTTCCAGCATAAGCCAGGTGACAAAGGATAACTGTGAGTAGGGTCTGGCTCCAGTATCACAAAGCAGGACAGAGAGGGGTGGATTTAGATCTGAGAGGCCACACTCTTCCTCCTTTCTTCTCCACCTGCCTTTCTGCCTTTCCCTCTTCTTCTTGCTTCCCTTTTAATTGGCCTTGACATGATGTTGAAGTTGATTAAAGTTATTAAATCAAGGTCAAGAATTTTTGTTTAGAATTTTTCTAATCAGAGTGACTTTCATTTCTTCCATGTATTTTTCTGTGGAAAGAAGGAATTAGGTTGCATTTTTACCTTTCTGTGGTTCAAAATTACTTTATTATTTTCCCCTAAGAGTTAGTGACCCAGTCAATCATGTGTTTTAATACCTTTCAGGTGCAAGTTATTCATTATCCTGGGCCCCTGGGAAGCAAAATGGTTACACACACACCCTCAAGTTTATAATCTAGTTAGCAAAATTAGACAGATACGTGAAATTACTGAGAAAACTGATCTGTGGATAACAAATGCTAAATGATGATCCATTACTGTTGAATTCATACTTCATAAAAGAGTGCCTGTAAGGCTCATTCACATAGGTTCCCACTTAAAGTCACTGTATTTTGAGAGGCTGCTTTTAAATGGATAATTCTGCGTCCCTTGAGGTTATTTTCTTGGTTGATTATAGATATTATTGTAATACCTTCCACCTACTTCATATTACAAAGTAGGCACGGTAGAAGGCACTTTACCTACATTATCTCATGTATTCATCACTGTCTTCCAAGATGGATGGCAGGCATCATCCCTTTCCAAAAGAGAATTATGCTCGGCCTCCCACCTCGAGTAAATGACTTGTCATCTTTAAGCCCATCACTGCTGCCTCACTTATCAATACAGATTCTTGAATGAACAATGTGGAACAAATGCAGCTTTAGAGAAGTTAAACAAATAAAAATCCAGAAATGGACTTTATAATTTTTTTAAAGGAAGAGAGGAAAACACACAGCGTTGACTCATCCTCTTGCCCTTTGTGGTGTCACACCTGGTTTCACTGTGTCTCCATTTTTTTCCAGTTCCACTGTCGCCCAGCCGTCTGAGATGCCCCCATCTCCTCTGGTGTGGGAGTGACGGTGGAAGATAATATACTACTGAAGATGTAATGTAGCTTTCCACTGGAGTCTGGGATTTGCAATTCTGGAGGTTAATCATGCTTGTACTGTAATTTTACTAATGAAGTTTTAAATTAACAACCACTACTTGTATGATATGAATAATATTTAGAAATGTTACTAGACTTTTAATCTTGTAAAGTGGTTGTGCTTTTAGAAGAAAAATATTTTACCCAGAGTTGCACATGTTTTATGAATTTAGTGCAGCTGTTATGGCTCACCTCAGAACAAAAGAGAATTGAACCAAATTTGGGATTTTGGGGTTTTGTGTTTTTGTTTTGTTTTGTTTTTCTTTTTTTAAAATGAAGTGAGATTGTTCACACACACACACACACACACACACACACAGAGGACAGTCGTACATTTTGATATTTGAGCCATTCCTGAAAATTTGGGGTTTTCTAAAACAAAAGAATCTAGAAACCTTGCCTGCGACCAATCATGGAGCCACATGAGCTGATCGTGGCTGCACCTGGGGGGGTGGGGGGTGGGGCATGCCACCTAATGATCAAGCCCTATAATTAGCTTCTCATTAGAGCCGTGACGGTGATGTGTGCTGTCTAAAATCCAATGTTGTGGGTAGAGAGAATGAGTTTGTGACTAGGAGAGACTAAACTTCTGTTTTCCTTACCCAGTATAAATATATATATATATATTTAATCTATTTTTATTAGAAGTTTTTCTGCTCTTTCTTACATAAAAGAACCCCCAAGCATGCATCTTTCATGTGTGTAAATAATTCATTTCTGGGCTAATTTCAAAAGAATCCCAACATTGCTGTATAGAGAGAGAACTAGCTTGCACATTTTAGGTCTGTGAAATTTTGTGAGACTTTTCCTGCACTGGACAGTTAAAAAATAAATAAATAAAGACAAAAACAAATTTTTAAAAATTTTAAAGCCACAAAAAAAGGCACATAGGGAATTATGTCAAATGTGTTTGTGTCCTTAGGCAAAGCTGTGGGAGTCTTGAAATGTCACAGTAGTAAATAACTTATTACTTTTTGACAAATTTTTTTTTCTGTTGGAACACTGAATTCTTCTGTGCATATGTATATATGAATACAAATTGAAGGCCTCTACCTCCTGGAGTTATACAACTTGGCTTGTTTACCTCCACATGCTGATGATGACTATTTTTTTTTTTTTTTAAGTTCAATGTGGAGACTTGAAACTTGAATGTCCCTTCCAACTTTTATATTAAAAATAAAAAGACAAGAAAATTGAAGATCGTTTTTCACCTGTACAAGGAATACTAATGGATCGTCTTAAAATTGGTCTAGGAAAAAACCTTGGTGTGTGTTATGGACAATTAACTGTTAAAGTTATTGTAAGTTATCTGTATTTAGCAGAGTATTTTCATCTTGAGTGATCTGAGCTGAATTTGAAGACTATTAATAAGTTATGTTTGGAAGTTTTAACTTCAATGAAGTAATTATTTGCTGTGAAAGAAACAAACATTGAATTACTAAACAAAGATGGTGCAATATCTTTGTTTTTTTTTTATGAGGCTCCTGAGAATCAACCCAACTGAAGCATTTCAATTCACTTGAATGAGAAACGTGTTTAGTATCAAAAGAGCCCAAGAAGACACTGGTGTGAAAGGTACAATCTCAGAGGTTGGTCAATTACCGTGGCACACTTACTGGTCACTTTGTACAATGTAGATTTGAAGTACAGTGGTGAAAACATTAAATGTGACATTTGAAAAAGATGTGTCATCCTATTTCTTTTAATTCTTTTGTTTTCTCTTCAGTACAGCTTTCATTCCTGATTTTGCAGTTTTAAGACATTTCTTATTTTTCTTATTTTTATTTTGATCTTTGAGGAAATTAATTACGGTTTTTGAAATTCTTCCCAGAAACTTTACATTGCCAAAAATGTACCAAAAACTTACTTAAGCAATATTAAAGATATTTTGAGTCATATATAATTTGAAAGTCTTTCCAGACCTTTAGAGTCTAAATAATTTAGAGTCTAATCCAGTGGTTTTCAAGCCTTTTTTTTTTTTTTTCCTTTTTTGAGCAAAGAGCCCTATTCGCATGTGAGATCAAATTTCAATACACTGGAGTCGAAAACATTAAATAAACAAACTGGATGAAACAGGTGCCTGGGGACTTGACCTCACCTTCTCTTCCTTTCTGCCTCCAGCCCCCTGGCAGCGCAAAGTAGTTCTAGCAAAGGAAGAAGGCCTAGCTGGAGTGCCTGGGTGGCTCAATCAGTTGAGCATCTGCCTTCTGCTCAGGTCATGATCCTGGGGTCCTGAGATCGAGCCCTGCATCAGGCTCCCTGATTAGCAGGGAGCATGCGTCTCCCTTCCCCCCTGCTGCTCCCCCTCTTGTGCTCTCTTGTTCTGTCAAATAAATAAATAAAATATTTTTTTAAAGGGTTGGGGGAAGAAGTCCCAGCTGGTGGTGGTGTAATTATGACCTGACACCAGACTCCCTAACTTCAGAATACCTTCCGGTGGCAGATACGGCAACATGACTCTTGAGTTTGTAGATGGCATGTATTTCCCCCTGTCTTTCCTTGATTCAGCAAAATGAATGGATTTTTTTCCCTGACATGGAGAGAATTGACTGTTCTAACTCATATAAATTAATACACATAAGTTTGTTCATCCAATAAACTTTTGAATACCCATTGAGTGCAAGAATTAACAAGGACACCTTGTTAATATCAATAGTACTTGAATACGAAAACTAGCTTTTATCACAAGAGAACATGAATTGCACATATAACAGTTTGAAACAAATTCTTCACAGATAGATAGTTTGACCTGTGCCCACTGGAACCTGCTAAGCTAACCAAGGGATGTGTGCCCCGCTTTTTTATTTATAATTGTTGATAATTGCGGGGCACCTGGGTGGCTCAGTTGTTGGGCGTCTGCCTTCGGCTCAGGTCATGATTCCAGGATCCTGGGATTGAGCCCCGCATCGGGCTCCCGGCTGCTTAGCAGGAAGCCTGCTTCTCTCTCTCCCGCTCCCCCTGCTTGTGTTCCCTCTCTCGGTGTGTCTCTCTCTGCCAAATAAATACATAAAATATTTTTAAAAATAAATAAATAAAATTGTTGATAATTGCAAAAATGGGGAATTTCTACAGCCAGTGAGTCAGTATGGACAGATAAGTTAGGGCTGTAATCAGCTACAGTTTGTTTGCCATTTAGGTATAAGACCCAGAAGATGGAAGTGATTTCTTGATAGTTCCTAAGGCTTGGAATTTTTATTTTGTTTTTCTTCTATGGTATATCATTTAAAATACTATTATATTAAAGCAAAAATATATTCAAGAATAGAATATGACATTTGCATGAATTTTGAAATAAAGGCCACATTGCGGGGATCTGTTTCCTGCTATGCTCTAAGGAGCATTGAAAGGGCATGGGTAGTAAATGAGCACTTTGAGTCTTCTCTCCACCTCTCCTTCCTTAAATGGTCTTTCCTTGGCTTCCATAACACCACTCTGTTTTTCTCCCTTCTTGGGGCCCACAATCTGTACAGGCTTCTTCCTCTGCTTAATCCTCACAATGTTAGGTTCCCTGGGCTAGGGATCCATCCTGAATCCTGGCTTTTAATGCTCTGAAGCCACAGGTTCTTGACAGTTGGCTACTCTCCTCTTGTGACTTCATCTACCCTCAATGAGCATAATAGAATGAACCCAAATCTCTTACCTATATATCCAGATTTTTTTGCTAGGTGCCTATCAGAAATCTCCACTTGGTTATCTTCTAGGCATCTCAGACATGTCAAAAACTGAAATTAATAATGGTTCCCACACAACTTTATTATTAAATCCTTCTCAGTTTTCCATAGTGGTTCCTTTTTCCCTCCTTCCTAGACGAGGGCCAACCTTAGCATATCGTGAGAAATTGTGGAAGAAAAAGGAATTGTATGTTTGTGGGCAAGAGGGACAGCGTTGGGAGCTGGCCCAGGCCCCCTTCTTCACATTAGGTTAGGATCTGGGCCAGGGTGGTGCTCTTGGCACCAGAGTGCCAGGTTTTCCTTTGTGGCAGGAGAGGTGAAAGAAAATGGCTCAGGTTACACTGTTCATCTGCTCCCTTCCCCTCAGTCCTGGTCCAGGGCTTCATATCCACCCCGTTACTTGGGCCAGAAATCAGAGTCCTCCTCACTCCCATCTTCACAACAGAATTTATGCACATTTTTCATTCCATTCTTTAATATTCATTTATCTTGGAGCACCTGGGTGGCTCAGTGGGTTAGGCCTCTGCCTTTGGCTCAGGTCATGATCTCAGGGTCCTTGGATCGAGCCCCGCATCCAGCTCCCTGGTTGGCGGGGAGCCTGCTTCTCCCTCCCTCTCTGCCTGCCTCTCTGTCTACCTGTGATCTCCCTTTCTCTCTCTCTGTGTCAAATAAATAAAATCTTTAAAAAATTCATTTATCTTAATGTTCTAAATTACATGCCATAAAAAAATATAAAACATGCCTAGCTGATGACTTAGATGCTGTTGAATCTTGTTTTCCTTTTTGGAAATCAGGGCTGAATTAAAGAGACTGCTACTACTTGCCGAGCGAACTTAACAGCCAGTTTCTCCTCTCTCAAGATTAAAATATTTTGAGAATCAAACCCATAAGTGGTGACATTTTTCCTACACTTTCTTATGTGTCAGGTGTACAGCTCTATAATTCAACATCTGTATACACTACAAAGTGATTACCAGCAAAAGTGAAGTCACTGTCCGTCACTATACAGTTGTCCCACTTCACCTGTTTGGCCCACCTTCAACTTTCTTCTCTAACCGTTGGTCTATTCTCTGTATCTATGAGGTTTTGTTTTGTTTATTGTTGTTTTTAAACTCCACAAGTGAAATTATAGCGTTTGTCTGCATCTGACTTATTTTGCTTAGTGTAATGATACATTCAAGGTCCATCCATGTCACAAATTGCAAGATTTTTCTTTTTTATGGATGAGTAGTATTGCATTATATAAATATACTACATCTCCCTTAACCATCTCTTGACAGATGCTTAGGTTGTTTCTATATGTTTTTTTTAAGATGTTATTTGTTTATTTTTCAGAGAGAGAGAGCACAAGTAGGGGGAACAGCAGGCAGAGGGAGAAGCAGGCTCCCCACTGAGCAAGGAGGCCAACATGGGACTCAATCCCAGGACCTAGGAATCCTGGCCTGAGCCGAAGCCAGACGCTTAACCAACCAAGCCACCCAGGCGTCCCGGTTGTTTCTTGGCTATTGTAAATAATGTTGCAATGAACATAGGAGTATATATATCTTTTCAGAGTAGTGTTTTCAGATTTGTCACCTAAATACCCAGAAGTGGAATAGCTGGGTCATGTGGTAGTTCTTAATTTTCTGAGGACTCTCCATAGTATTTTCAATAGTAGTTGCACCAATTCACAATCCCACCAATAATGTACAAGGGTTTCCTTTTCTCTACACCCATTCTAACACTTATTTTGTTTTGGTTTTGTTTTTCCCTAATAGCCATTCTAATAGATGTGAGGTGATACCTCATTGTGCTTTTGATTTGCATTTCCCTAATAGTGATGTTGAACATCTTTTCATGTGCCTGTTGGCCGCCTGTATTTGTTCTTTGGAGAAATGTTCCTTCAGATCTTCTGCCAGTTTTTTAATTGGGTTGTTTTTCTGTTGAGTTGTAGGAGTCCTTGTATATTTCAGCCGTTAACCCCTTATCACCAAAGTTTTGCAAATGTCCTCTATTCGTAGGTTGCTTTTTTGTTTTGATAATGGTTTCTGTTGCTGCACAGAAGCTTTTTAGTTTATTTTTGCTTTAGTTTCCTGGACCTTTGGAGTCCGATCCACAGAGATGCTGCTAAGACCAATGTTAAGGAGTTTACCGCCTGTGTTCTCGTCTCAGAATTTTATGGCTTCAGGTCTTATATTCAAGGCTTTCATCCATTTTGAGTTAATTTTTGTGTGTGGTGTAAGATAGTAGTCTAGTTTCATTCTTTTGCATCTGGCTGTCCATTTTTCCCAACACCATTTATTGAAGAGACTATCCTTCCACCATTGTATGCTCTTGTCTTGTATGTATGTCTGATCTGTGTCATAGATTAAATGTCCGTGTGTGTGCGGGTTTATTTCTGGGCTTTTGATTATGTTCCATTGATCTGTGTGTCTGTTTCTGTGTCAATACCATACTGTTTTGCTTACTGTAGCTTTGTAATATAATTAAATCAGGGGGCCTGATACCTCCAGCTTGATCATTCTTTCCCAAGACTGCTTTGGTTCCATACACATTTTAGAATTATTTAAGTTCTGTGAAGTATCCCATTGGGAATATTGGTAAGTATTGCATTAAATCTGTAGATTACTTTCAGTGTTATGGACAGTTTAACAAAACTAATTCTTCCAATCCTGTATTCCAAGAATACAGAATATCTTTCCGTCTGTTTGTGTCCTCTTTGGTTTCTTTCATCAGCATCTTACAGTTTTCATTACATGTCTTTCACTTCCTTCGTTTAATTTATTCCTAGGTAATTTATTCTTTTTGATGCAATTTGTAAATGGTATTGTCGGGGCACCTGGGTGGTTCAGTCCATTAAATGTCTGCCTTTGGCTCACATCATGATCTCAGGGTCCTGGGACAGAGGCCTGAAGCAGGCTTTCTGCTCAGTGGGGAGTCTGCTTCTCCCTCTTCCTCTGCCTGCTGCTTTGCCTACTTGTGATCTCTATCAAATAAAAAATAAAATCTTTTAAAAATAAATAAGTGTTCTCAT